GAGCTCTTGTCATGGAGTCGTGCTAGCCCCTTGGTTTGCTGCTCTGCATGGTACAAGGCTCATGCCCACAGAGTATGGTAGCTCTGCAGACCAGGTACCTTTAGTGCTGTTGACAACCATACAGATACTAAATACATGGCTTGCTGTAAGATGAACAGTGAGCAAGGATGGAGGTATGCCCTCTCTTCTCCCCTCTTAGCTCTACCTTGGCTTTACTGAATGCCTGATAGTGCAGAGGTGGGTCAGTGCCTAGAGCTTTGATCAAAACTATACAATAGCCAAGCAGTTTCTGTCCCAAAGAGTAAACAGACAAGAGGCACATGAGAACAGGGAATTTTGCCTGCACTTAACTCAGAAAACGCACTTCTTCAGCCAAGACGGATGCAGATGATGGTTCAAATGACACCAGCAATCTGTGGCAGTGGTAGGACCAGGACTTGGGTCTCACAAACCCCAGTCAAACGTCTAAGAAACTATAAAAAATAATAATAAAAGAAATAAAAATCAATCATCCTTCCAGTCTACATGAGGATACAGTTGCAGTGACAGAGCCTTAGATGACAGTTCATTAAGCCACATTACACATCTTTCCTATGACTCAACTACTAAAAGCATCTAAACTACAATGTTTAACACTGCAGATGCTGACACAGGCTGCAGGGCTTTTCCCTTTGGCTGGGCTCCTTACCAGTTTCTCCAATCCAGTGTACCATGTGGAATCACAAACAGATGAACCAGCACAAGCGAGGAGGAAAAAGAGGTGGAGGAGAACAGCAGCTTTTGAATTCAGCATTGCAAAAGCCTTTCCCATGGTGAAATGACAGCCTTGCCAACTGCTGGCAGCACAGCCAGGGTATTTTGTGTACTTGATGTTGTGCAAGTATCCATTGAGAATCTGTGGAAGAAAGCCTTTTTCCCAGGAAGGCCTTTTATTTATTTTCCTTCCCAAACGTAGGGAAATGGAGGAAGCAGAGCCCTGTACTTACCCTGCTGTAGTCTAGATTGCTGTTCTCACCCTGAGCTTTAAGAGTAAACCCCTCAGTTAGCGTGACCTGCAGCATCAGATAAAGTAATCTAAAGCCATCAGCAACACTCTTGCAACAGCGCATCAAAGGATCAGCATCTCAAGCTCTAACACACAAATGCCACAGGCTTGTCTTGACATTTACACAGCAGGAGAAACTGTGAGCAACCCAACATAGTCCAGCATCCTTGAGTTACATTTAATGCACAATAGTAGTTTATTCTTACTGTTTTCTTTCCTGCTTGGGTGAACAATTGGCAGCATGGAAGAGAACCCTACAATGGCACTAAGCAAAAACACTTGGGTTGTCATTGGCCTCAATCTGCTGAGTTTTAGCTTCCTCCAGATCTATTTGTGCCACAGCATGTACAAGATACTGTGATTTAGATGCTGCAAAGTCACCACCAGCCAGAAGAATCCAGCACTTCACAAGATGAGCTCATGGACATTTCATCCACATGAACTGTGGACATGTGGGCATAGTTTCCCTGCTAGGCTGCTTTGTAATTACCTCCCTTACCCTGTAAAGCTTGTCAAAGGTGGCAAACAGGTTATAAAGGGGCAAGATGTGGCAGACCCAGTGCCAGATGACTTAAAGAAAGCCTTGGAAAGCCAGGCTAGAGCTCAAGTGAGTCACTGACTGGCCACCAAGCAGACTGTGCCTCTGTCTTCCCCACTCCTCCTCATCAGGTGTTTCCACACATTGAATCAAAACATGGCATCTTACAGGCAGATAATATGGGCTCAATAAATCCATCACAGCTGCCCTGATCCACCTGTTTGCACATACAAGCTCTCAAAGTCATTGTGTTTTCATGAGTGGCATCTCAATTGTAGTCTGAATCCAGCACATGGCTTTACATCCTTTTAAACATTCCAGAGCCTTTCTGTATTTGTTTTTAAACTGTTGGACTAGTGATGCCTTCTGACCCATGCTCAAATAAAAACGTAAGAAGGAATGTTAAATTGAAAGAAATATCAACATATGGGGGCATGACTTTCTTCCTTCTAGAAAGCAAGATTAAACCAAATCAGGCTGCTCTAATAGCAGATAAAAGTGTTTTAAAATAGATTCACTCTGTTTCAGCTTGGACTTTTGCAAGCACTTTGCTCAAGTAGGGACTGAAATCAATCTTTTCACATCAAAACCTTCAGTACCCCTCACTGTGTTAGTAGAGGACTGCACATGCACAGGGCAGCACAGATACACACATCTCCATCTGGTGAAATATCAAAATCCACAAGAACTCTTCACCTTCCAGAAGAGTTGCAGAGACCAAGAATGATGCCGCTGGCAGGCAGACAGCCCAGAGGTACACAGCCCCTGAGCCACCAGCCAGGAGAGATCCAGGAGATTCCACAGTTCACAGCCTCTGCTTCCCAAGAGTGGTTTGTCCTTTTTTCACTCCTTCCCCTAGCAATTACACTAAAGCACCCCACCTCCCTTTAAAAAGCCAGATAACCATGACCCCCTGCCTGCTGACAGACTTCTTGCAAAGTTTTGCTTCATTCCAAACCACTCTCCCATTGAACACACCATCCTACCTCCCCCCTTTAGAGTTCAATACAAGCATAAAGTCTTAGCTAACTGCTGCTCCATCACACGCATAGGTGGTGTCAAAAGACCAGTCCCTGTGAGCAGAGCTCTGCAAGCCATGCAGAGCCTCAGGGTCTCAACCTTCTCCTTTCCATGCAGCCCTGCAGTACAAACTCCTCTTCTACATTCATAGCATAGGTTCCGCTGTAAAAGAACACATGTGAGCTGAAAAGACACTACGTTTCAGGCAGAGCTTACGTCCAAGTCACACACACATCCCTCCAACAGAAAGCAAAGGCAGTACTAATAAAGAAGATTCAGCGCTGTAATTAAAGAGGTTTTTTAGTCTTCAAGGTTTTAATTTGAACAGACATTTCTACTGTGTTCTCAAGATATCTACAGCAAACTTTACATCACTTTGCATCTGTTTTTCTCCCCCAGTTTCAACCATGGTAGTTTTTTCTGATATTTGTGATTCTTTTTGCAATGTGTTCAACACCACAGCAGCTGGGACTCCGCACACATACAGCATACACCTAATAATAGCACACAACTCCCAGCCCTGTTACTTGTTTCATGTAAAATGATATCAAGACTGATGCAGCAGCCAAGTCCAATCAGCAATTCCAGATGTTTGGACAGAAGTGCACTCATCACTGAAGTTTGTAGCAGTTAACAGATACATAGCACACATCACACAGTGCTATTCAGTGTCACACAGTTACAAAGAAAGGGAGTGCTAGCAGAGATGTTTTCCCCTCATACAGGAACCTGTACACGGCAGCACTTCCCAAGGCTTTAGCAAAGCATACATTAGACACCAATATGCTGTACAGTGCAATTTAAGTTATATCGTATGCAACATGGACAATAGTGCACTTAAACCAGTCGCCACATTCAAGAGTTAGATCAATACAATCAAAATATTGAAGGTACATATTCCCTTAAGAACACTGTGCAAGTTAGTTCCTTTTCCCTTTTGCTTTTAATTTTGGTAAATGGCAGAGTGTCTGCATTGATTTACCCCAGCATTTGGGGAAGGGGGCCCTCAGTGTCCAGCTTATTACACAAACAGCTATGTGCAAAAGAGCAGAAGCACGGCTGTTAGCAAGAGTGTAAGGCAGTGTCAGGCTGCAGAGCCACAGCACTTATGGCTCAGGAAGATGACGTGACCTGCAAATAAGGTGTCAGTGACTTCAGGGGGCAGAGTGCAGATATGCCCTTCCAAGAGGAAGCAAGCTGATCATCAACATTAAATACGTGAATAAATGTGGTGGACACGCAGGTAAGCAAAGCTCTGAAGTGCTCCACTGTGTATTATACCTGTAGCCACCAGACTGGAGCCTAGAAAGCACTGGGAACAGAAAGGTTAAAAGAGAACATGCAAATAGCCTGGTACAAGAGGTCTGTGAACTGTCTTCTCCCAGTACTACCTCCAAGGGCCCACACATCATGTGCAATACCTTGCAGGACTGCTCCAGGTAACATCTCAAGAAGATGGTGACCTGCAGGTTAATTCAAGCCTCCAGCTCCTGCTGTTTGCAGTGCCTATAAGCACTACATTGCTGTTTGCAGTGCCTATACAGCAGAGGATCAGGGAAGAAACTGGTGTGGCTGCTCAGACTGACACCAGCATTTTCACATGGAGGCTGTGAACCACATTAAGCTGAGCAAGCACACAGCACTGGGGTGTGGATTCAGTCCTGATACACCCATGGAGGATGAAATGCCAGCTCAAAGAGAATTTGCTGCCTTTTGTTAGCTGTCACAGCTGGTTACCCAATTTCCTCAGATGCCTGCAGTTTGCATGAGAGACTAGAGCAGCCAAGCAATTAGATCAAAAAAAACCCTCTTTGCTTCTCTATTATTTAGCTCAATACATAATTACTATGTTAGGAAATTGCATAACCTTTAAGTGTGCTTCATGTATAGTCTATTATGGGGAAAAGAACGCCTTCTGAATCCTTCCCATCTGGTTAGCGAGAATGCATTTCAGATGTACAAGAACAGTAGAAATTCTGAATTGGATATGCATACAGCACCCAGGCAGGTGCAGATCCCACAGATATAATTTTAAAGGGTGAGGAATAATTTTAGGGGCTTACATTTGCATTATACCCAGAAGGCAGCTCCAGAAGACAGTTTGGAGGAAAGCATGGCCAACTTATGCCTCCCCTGTTACGCAGTACAGCCACCCTGGGAAGCGCTCCCAATGTCAGACTGGGTTTAGTGAGCAAGACCGTCACTCTTCAAAACTACATAGAAATAGGTATTACAAGTAGTGGAATTACTCTTCTGCCTTAAGTGAACATCACTTTAAAAGGGATCTTTTTATTTTTTAAGCCAGATGACTTTAGGCCTAAGTTTAGGTTAGTTGAGAAGAGAACAAAGAAATAAGGTCTGAAGCAAAAGGCATTAAGGTAGCAATCACTATTCACATAACTTTACATAGCTTCTTGGTTATAGAACTTGTCTTAGAATATATTTAGTGGTTACATGACTTTTGCAATTACTCTCCAGATACTTCTACGCCAGCTAAAGATGCTGCATTCTCACGTATATCTATCTTTATATGAAGTGGCTTTTAAATAAAGGCGGCTTCATTCCAAAAGCAGATTAAACTGTCACAGAAGCTCAACAGTTTCCAAAGAGATCAATGCTGACCTGATGCAGCTCCATTCATTTCAGTAGAACAGGCTAACAGCAAGTGCCCTTTTAGACAGTCCCATGTGCACTTTCGTTAATTCAAGTCTTCGCAGTCATGTACAGCTACCAATGGAATCAAGCTGAACAAAAGCCTAGGTGAGTTAATATTTCAGATCCCCTCTTACCTGTATTATTTTCTTAAGGGAAAAAACTATCTAGCAAAACCTCTGATTTTATAAAAGCAGACTTCAGTCACAGAACCACAAAGACCAGCTACAAAATACAGTTACTTGGCAAAAAAGCTTATCCCTAAAGTCTTCAAGCAGTTTTAGCAGCTACAAATGATCTGAATCATTAGCATTTTTGTAGTGATGGCCCTTTCTTCTGCAGCAGCTACCTGGTGTGCCAGATCACCTTAACTTCTGACTTCTGCTTTTGATGTTTCATAAAATGTATTGCAAGAGCATGAAGGAAAAAGCACACCAGGTGGAGCAAAAGTGTTTTGCTGAGCTGCAGGTTAAGCCCTGCTCTTGCACCCCAGCAATGCTGAGAAGCTGTTCAAGTGTAGAAAACCAGTCAGTGCAGTTCAAAGTTTCAAGAAGGCAGCTTGATTCTAGTTAAAAGGACAACTCTGAGCCACTGTCTTGCAAGTGAACACCTCTGCCAACTACTTAACCCTTTTGCTTTCCAGGTAGAATAAAGAAGTTTGTTATTCCTTAGACATTCATACATGCCAGACAATTCTACCTGAAGGTCATGGCTTAAACATTAGCAGCAGAATCCCTACTTCAATTTTGTATTGCACTGAAACTTCTCACTCTGGTTTGGTATTCAACTTACTGCTCCCGAGCCAATACCAACACAAAAACCCCAAGTGTTAGATGTGAAGGCTACCGAGGGTATCATATAGACTGGTAGAACCTGTAGATAGATTGTACCATTCTCTAGTTTTTCAAGGAAACTAAAGAACTAAGCTGCCTTACTTACTCTTGGAGAAAAGGTGCTTCCAGACAAAACGCCTTTACCTATCTACACATAACTTTGTATTTTCATCCTGCTGAGTGTTTAGAGAGTTCAACAAGACCAGAATAAGTCCAAAATAAATCTGAAACATCCCATCTCTTGGCCCATCCTGGTCATCCACAGTTGCTTGGAGGTAAGAGTTCCAGCTTCTGCTGACACCGTACACAACATCGAGACACAAAAGCTGTCAAGAGAGGAGGATGCTGTGCCCAGTCATGTATGTCTGCTGTAAACAAAACAAAATGCCCTCCCAAAAAGCAGAGAGGTACATAGTGTGAAGTGGAGGTTTCAGCAGTGGGAGGACTGAGGGTCAGCTGTACCCAGAGGGCTCTGCAATACATGCACTTTCCATGTTTAGTCTTTAACATAAAGGGGACTGGAAAGGAAAGACCTGAGGCAAAGCCCTGCCAGCTCACAGGTTCTCCTACATCCTATCATCTGTTCCCATCTCTGCTATCTGCCTCCTCAATGCATTAACCTTTGCCTGAAGTTGCTTGTTGTATTTTATGATGTTGATCATTTCTTCCTGGGCTTCATCCAAGAACTTGGAAGGCCTGTTCCACCGAAGAAAGACACCTGAAAGTCCAGAGACACCACAAGTCAGAAGGTTTCCCTGTTACAAGGAAGAATCATTATTCATATTCCATCAGCTCTCAAGTAATGTTCATACAGTTTATGCATTTTACCCTTCCCTCCAAACAGCATTCAGAAATACTGACCAAGAAATACTCCCCAAGTTCACCATTCTATTAAGCAAGCTTAATAAAGGAAAAAAAAAGAGGTTATTTCATTCCCTTTTTCCTCATATATTGATCAGACCAATCCATATTCAGGTTCCACCCTGCCATGACAGCCTGCTTGTTTCTCTGTGCCTGGGATGAAGGAAGTTTCTACAGCAGGGAACCCACTGCACATAGATTATCCTGGCCAACATGGCCAGTAACAAAGAAAGGAAAGTCTTGGTTGATACAGAACAAAAGCATGAGGTCTGCAGAACATCTGTGGATTAGGTACTGCAGAAATACTGTACTGTAAAATGGTACTTGTAAGGTTCCCTGGCAAAGAGTAGCATGTACCAAACCTCAACAGGAAAAAGCATCATGCCTCTGGGGATGGCACATGCCAAAACTACTTTGGAACAGATTTCAAAGACCTCCATCACTTGAGACAGACTACACACAGAGCAGAGACAACAGGAAAAAACCCTTAAAAAGCTTTACAAGTAGCCACAAAATATATATTTGCCTGTAATAGAAAAAGCCAGCCTGGCTTACCTTCCCAGAGCTGCAGGCTCTGTGGGGCAACAGAGGGCCAGATGACAAGGCTGTTGGCCTCAAAAAGAGGATTCTGGAATTTTATCAGCTCTTCAGAACTGTTCACCCAGGACCACAGGGACATAGTCTTTTGTGGCAGCTTCAGTTTAGACCTAACAAACCCACAGGAACAAGTTAGTTTTCACTTCTGTACTGTAAAGACTCATCTTGTCAGAACCCCAATGACCTAGAAGGCCTCAAGCTTTTCCATGTTCTACTAGCCCTGACAATTCAGGGTTATCCCTTCAATACCTCTCACCAACATGGCACAGGGTGTAAACCTAAAACAGTTTACTCAACCTGGCAAATTACAATTAGTTTTGAAGAAAAGGATAGGGAAAAAACATTTATAAGCTAGGTGGAAGTCAGCTGCCTTCTGTCCAGATGAAGAAACAGTCACCTCCCCAGAGTGGTTCAACTGCCATGTTTGGAAAGGGGTTGCATTCTTCTGTTCAACCACAGGATGAACACTCCTGTGTTCAACCACAGAGCTGGGGGATGTGATAGGTCTGCATCAGGGAAGGATGGTAGTGCAATTCTGAGTACATTAAAGCAGTGTTACTGCTGGAATTGTGCAATGGGCACGTCTGAGGAGGTCCCTCTGGTGGCAGAAAACATCAGAGCACAGAGCAGCGCTGCTTCCCTTGGTCAAACCATCTCCAGAAGGTTACGCAGGGGTCTCTAATACTCAAGATTCTGGCAGACCTCATTCTGCTTACGCTAGCAAATTGAACTGCCACCAGGCAGGAGATTCACCATCCCTGTGAATGCTCCAGACAGCACAAGCTTAACATCAGACTTCAAACATTTTCTGTCATCACAGGCTGACATGTTCAGATGTGACAGGCAGGTTATTACATGTAACATTCTATACTCTCAAATTTCATCTTACTAGCTTCAAGTCTAACTTGGATCAGCAGCCCTGCAGAAGGGAGAAGAGTCTCTTCTCAGCAAAGATTATTTTAAGGGCAGAGAGGTTGATAGGGAGTTTTAAATTGCCTTCCGTATCTGTAATATTAGTTCTGTTTTTCCCTTCTACTCATTCAGTGGTCTTCAGTCCCATAGAACATGGTCTTCAGACCATAGAAACATAGAGTCATAGAATAGTTAGGGTTGGAAAGGACCTTAAGATCATCAAGTTCCAACCCCCCCCGCCATGGGCACGGATCCCTCACCCTAGATCATGTCACCCAAGGCTCTGTCCAACCTGGCCTTGAACAGCGTCAGGGACGGAGCATTTACCACTTCCCTGGGCAACCCATTCCAGTGCCTCACCACCCTTAAAGGAAAGAATTTCTTCCTTATATCCAATCTAAACTTCCCCTGTTTAAGTTTTAACCCATTACCCCTTGCCCTATCTATTAGGACTACAGTCCCTAATGAAGAGTCCATCCCCAGCATCCCTGTATGCCCCCTTCAGATACTGGAAGGCTGCTATGAGATCTCCAACGCAGCCTTCTCTTCTCCAGGCTGAACAGCCCCAACTTTCTCAGCCTATCTTCATAGAGGAGGTGCTCCAGTCCCCTGATCATCCTCGTGGCCCTCCTCCGGACTTGTTCCAACAGTTCCATGTCCTTTTTATGTTGAGGACACCAGAACTGCACACAATACTCCAGGTGAGGTCTCACGACAGCAGAGTAAAGGGGCAGGATCACCTCCTTTGACCTGCTGGTCACGCTCCTTTTGATGCAGCCCAGGATACGGTTGGCTTTCTGGGCTGCAAGTGCACACTGAAGCTGGCTCATTTTCTCATTAACCAACATCCCCAAGTCCTTCTCCACAGGGCTGCTCTGAATCTCTTCTCCACCCAACCTGTAGCTGTGCCTGGGATTGCTCTGACCCAGGTGTAGGACCTTGCACTTGGCATGGTTAAACTTCATTAGGTTGGCATCAGCCCACCTCACAAGCATGTCAAGGTGCCTCTGGATGGCATTCCTTCCCTCCAGCGTATCAACCAAACCACACAGCTTGGTGTCATCGGCAAACTTGCAGAGGGTTCACTCAATCATTCCTGCTCCGGCAGGGGGATTGGACTAGATGATCTTTTGAGGTCCCTTCCAATCTCTAACATACTGTGTGTGCTACTGTGTAATCCCACTGTCCTTGTCAGCAACAAAGATGTTCAATAGGATTAGTCCCAACAACAGCCCCTGAGGGACACCACTCATTACTGGTTTCCAGGAAGACACTGAGCCTCAGATTTCTTTAGTCACACTGAAACACTTGTAAGAGGAACAAGCTCTCTAATACTGCATCAGACTACGTAACTGCAACACAAGAAGCTCACCTGTGCTAAGGGAGACTGCACAAGCACCCTCACACTTTTTCAAACTAAGAAACTTTTCTGGGTTTGTCCAATACAGCCCAATATTTAAGGGTTTCAAAGCAAGCATCCTTACCAACCTTTCATTTTCGTTGTTTCCCAGGAAAGTCCCAAACTGTGAAGCATAAGCATGTTCAAAGAGCATAATGAGGAACCGTTCATTGAATTCAAAAGAGCAAGGGAACTGACGAAGGATTTGCCACACACAGTCCAAAAAGAGAAGAAACACTGGGGCCTCCCATTTCTGCTTGCTATTTGAATAGGCTGATTGGGCACAGCGCTGCTGAAAAGGGTGACCAGCCTGTAGGTAAGAATCAGAGAAAGCATCACAAAGTAGTGGGACGTGAGCACATGTAGCAAAAAAACTTTAAAGCTAGTTCTGTCCATGCAACTGTACTACTAATACTACTACTCTTTTCTACAATGGTAATTTCATCAAGCATTCCATAACAGTCTGCTAGCAACCATGACCAACTTTGCTGCCTGTTTCAGGCTATGTAAAGAGCCCTGTATTTGATCAGAGAAGTTTACCAAGAACAAACCGGTGTAGGTTCAAAGCACCAGGCTGAGAATATTAGCTGCAAAAGCACAAGGAGTCTTTTAGTTTCTTTGTACACCGAGTACTAAGGCTTTGTGGTTTAGTCTGAACAGTGTTTTCTAAAGAGCTGTTCACCCTAAGCATGCAGAACAGGCAGCTCCCCCAAACCAAATCATCATGAGAGGCAGCAGCCCCATAAAGGTGCAAATGACGCAGTTAATGATGTTGCTCTTAGGACAAAGAGCCATTCACACTTAGCAAGGCTGCAACAAGGCCCAACCTGTCTGCTGCCTCTCAAGCTATTTCTCAATACAACTGTCACTGGAATAGATTGCCTTTTGTCCATAGGCATGTCTTACCTGCAGCCACTCCCTTACAACAAGAGATTCAAAGCCACGTATGGTTCTGCATCTTGGATCCAAGATAATCTGTGCCAAAGAAGTTACCTGGAGTGTCGAATCAGTTCCTTCAGTCCCATGGACTAGTACTGACGCACCTTCCCTGAGAAGGAAAAAAATGGGAAAAAATGAGTGAGCCCATCACATTCCAAGGACGTATGCATGCCAATGGGTGACATTACATCCCACAGACACCAGTGCTGCTACCCTGACAATGCTGAGGTTTTGCTGGCTCTTTACCCAGTCTTCCTTCCCATAAGCTTACTCCCTGCCCTACATGGAACTGTACCACCTTCTCCACTCAAGATCTTCGCCAAAACTAACCAGAGCTCTGGATCACTTAAGTCTTAGTTTCTTGCTAAGCATCCTGGAAATCGAGACCCTTTGCCATGCTGACAGAAGATGCACAGCAAATCTCTTCTGCAGTTCTCACTTTTGAATTGGTAACCCCTTGAGTTATAGCATGGAAATGCATCTCAGAATTTGCCCATGTCACTTACTGTTTTGCTAAGTACTCTGAAATATTCCCATAAGCATTGCAATGAAGACATATCCCCCAGGTGCAAAACAATACTATGAGATCCTTGCTCAAATCTTAATTGCATTTGGGTCTCAAATAGGTTTTACTGAAACAAAAATAAACCAATAACAAAGATCAGGAAAAAGAAACAAAGAAAAGGCAGAGTCTGGCCTCCAGAAAGGCAGCTGAGTTAAGTTTGCTGAGCAAGAAAGCTTGTCGAAGAGGCAAGGCCAAAGGTTCACTAGCCAGTGCAAGTGAAGCAGAACAATGTGAAGAGCAAAAGGAGCTAAGACAGTTTGGGGCAGGAAGGTTTTGTGCACTGCTAGGGCCCCACATTCCATCACTCCCTACAGTGGGGACTATCCAGGACAACCGATTTCCTCCCCTCTTCTCTATCCTAGGCTGTATTTGGATACAATATCAGAATCTCATCTGTATGTTCCAGAAGGAAGAACTGCATTAAACGCCTTTCATCCTTCTTACTCTTCCCAAACCTTGACCCAATATCTCAGTTCCACAAATATCCTTACATCTAGAAAGGAAATTAATTGCAGATTGTATTTGTTTTTGTGCAGAGATCCAGCGTATGCAACAAAGCATGGGTAAGAAAGATCTTTATACCAAGCAAGTAACCCTGCAGGTATTACTTGCTTTTTGAAGTGAAAACCCTAAGAATCTATACCTTAGCATTGCAACATCTTTGTCTATAGTCCTATGTCTAAAACAAACCCAGTGCCTTTAAGGTATAGATAATCTTCAGATATAATTTATCTCCTTTTCCAGGCGGTGGCAGACAGAGAGGCTGCTTAGCAGCCAAGCACAATTGCAAAGGCTAACTGCAAGCCTATGCTCTCCTCAAAGTGGGGCACACCAGAATAACACTGTTTTCACCTTTCATCTTTCAGGCTTTGCACCTTTAAGATACTGCAAGATTTGTCCCGGTCATTCCCTCCCTGCAGCAAATATGAATGACCCATCCTTGTCAGCTCAGCTATGATCTCGAGGCTCTGAGAGAGGCAGGCCAGGCACCAGTGCTGACCTGGCCTGCCATAGCTCCAGGTAAACAGAAAAAGCAAAACTGAGGTTAACAAAAATGATGAAATTGTCCACTGCCCAAAGAAACCAGATAAGTTCATCACCAGTCTTTCTCCTTATACACAACTTCCATTACACACATGCATGAAAGAATTACAGATAAAATTGATCAAGAGCAACCCTTTTCTGACAGGGTCAATAACTAAACAGGCACTGTCAGTGCTTTTAAAAAGCACAGCAGCTCCTATTTTATTGGTAAAACAGCAGGACTGCATTAACGATACTTTTCAGCCTATTTGTGTATCCATATAGCACACTCCCTAGCTGGTACGAAAAGCTAAGTTTTCCCTGTATTTTGAAAAGGGCTTTCCCCTCAGAGCCACAAAGAAATCAACATTTAGAGCCCTACATTTGGTCTTAGAAACCCTGACACCCGACAGCTCTTGCTCTCCAGCCTGTGGTCTGAAGACAAGACAGCCAAGTCAGCAGTATTTATTAATGAAACGTCAAGTCAAAAGCACTTACAAAGGATGAACAGGATTGCTTAGATAGGAAACACCAATGTTTTCATCTCCAGAAGTCAGGTATTGGAAACTTTCAGCTAAAACCGGATTACTTTAAAAAAACAAACCCTCTGTGTTCTCACTTTACTAGGCTACCAAACAGCATTTCAGATGGGCACATTCTAATCAAAACCTTCCATAGAACTAACTAAATTAGACTGGTTGCATCAGACATTAGGAACACTCGTTAACTCGATTATCTATATTCATATGTTTAGTCAAGATTTCCTCCCTCAGGCTTATACTTCTAAAAATGCAAGCAGGATTTACTGGAGGAACATTCCTTAATCGTGACGAAACAGTATCTTGCATGGGTACAAGGCAGTTCATGGTGGTCATCACTAATATTTAAAGTGGAAACAGGGGTATTTAACAAGCAATCTGTATTGAGTGAATGAGAAACTCAAGGCTTTCTGAAGATTTACCTATCAATACACTGAGCAGCTAGGCAAGCTGCAGTTAGTATCTCCTTGATGTGAGTCAGCCAGTTGGATGCTTCCAGTTTACTGAGCCATCGGTCCATGTTGTGCGACTGGTCATTACAAGCTTCCACAAGTTTGATGAGGCTTTCCTGCAGAATGTTAAACCTTTGGGAAAAGCAAAATATTACTGAAAATGTAAGCAGTAACATAGCAATCAGGACAATGTGCTTAACTGATCTCTAAATAAAGCACTATGATTTTATACGGGTATTTCAAATTGACCCTACATAGAAGTCACATCTCCTCAGTCAGCAAACATGCTCCTGCTGGTAATGCCACACTGTGGCTAGCTGCCAGCAGAACACTACTCTTTGGACAGAAGCAGCCTCTTACCTTTCAGAACATATTGTTTCATAAGGCATTACAACACTAGGGCCTTCCAACAGCTCCAGTAATATTAATGCATGACTGTGTAGAAGGATTCACTAGAACTAAGGCTTAACAGCAGTTGAATGAGGTCAGACTAAAAGTCTATTTAACTTAGTACCTTGTCCCAAAACGACTAAACAAAACTAGACATCCAGAGAAAATTACTGGATAAGAGGAAGGTGACTGCCACAGAACAAATCCTCACCTGCAGAAGTTTTCTTACAAGGTACTTGCTCATTCCTGTGCACTAATGCAAAGTGAAACACAGGAAGGCTGGAGTGCAGCTGCAGACGGTCAGAGAAAGAGATGGCACAAGGAAATTGCCTAATGTCTGAAACCTGCATCAGGCTGATCAGAACAAGAAACCAAACACAGCTTTCTGAAGCCAAATACTTTAATCATCCACATACCCTGATTTTGCAAAAAAAACCTAACACGACCCTGTTGACAGGAACCAGGATTCAGAGCTACTTCTTACAGAAGCAAATACTTTATGGAGCTAGCATGAATCTGCCAATATAACCCTACAAAGCCAAGACCGTGTGATTTCACCCACCTCTCAATACATTTGTGAATCCTCCTCCACTGGGGATAGTGCGCTTCTTGTTCAAAGCCCCCTCCTTTGGCCCTGGCCTGCTGGGCAACATTCAGGGACCTGGTATCAATGATGTAGCCGCGTTTGCCAGGCCGTAGGGTGGCATTAATAAGCTTCTCATCTTCTTTACACCGTCTCCCATTCGTACCTGTAAGAGGCTGGCTACTTCGCATCATGACCTGCAGAGACAAAGAACCGTGAATCAGGCACTGGAAATGGAGAGACTTAAGACTGAAAGAAATTGATCAATTGGGCTCCAAGCCAAAAATAGAGATTTAAGCTCACTATACAAAGAGCACCCCTCCACCAGAGGATTTCTTAGGGGGCTCTAAATGTAGACTGCAAACTGATGAAATACCTCACCAAGTCTCCATTCCAGGCATGGACAACAGCCCTAGAGAAGGTCGCTGCTGAAATTCATACAGCATGCTCCTGTTTTCCTTTAAAACTCAGGCCATTGTAACAATGTTTATAGGAGTGAGATAGATCAACCTTAAAAAAAGCTTCCTCCATCAGTTCAGAGGTAAAATCCAAGTGGGGTCCTCCTGGATGTCCAGCGCTTCTCTGTGGAGTTGCACCAGCAAGTGCAGCTCTCACCCCACTGCACCTCCTGCTTCCGTCTGCTTCAAGTTCAACCTACCATGACTGGACACAGACAAGTGAACACCATGATCTGCACTGACTGCTGCACAGAAACATCCCTCTAGCTCTTCCTAGAGTTGCTGTTCTCCCTTGCCCTGAATCCTTCAGTTCTTTTAAGCGCAACCTTTGCAGGGACGGAAGCACTACTGTCACAGGTTCAAGCACTTCTAGCCAAATTCTATTATATTCCTCATAACTTGAAAAGTACACAATCTAGAGAGATAATGGAATAAATCTTCCTTTAATGGTTTTCAGTCAGGCTGAGAAAAAGCAGAAAGCACAACTTACGAAATTGGTGAGAGGCTGATTTTAAAGTAAAGCAATAAAAGCACAAAGGTACTGCTAGGTCAGACTAGATGTCTTCTAATTCAGAACTTTACAATCTTGGCAACAGGAGGAGAGAAGACATTAGAGTATTTGACTCAGAAGCCTGGATCAAGTTTGTAAGCCGCAGGCTGGACATCCTAACATCCTCAGAACTGGTTACCTCAGCAAAAGATACACAGAATTACTCAACAATTTCATAAAGTGCTTTTCCTAATTATAGCGTATCAGACACTCGATTACATTTTGGCTTGTCAGAAGGTGGTGAAGTCTGTGCAACAACAAGAGTTTGCTACTCCTGAAACATGTTATACTGACAGGCTCAGGAACAGATTGTACTGATCACTCCTTAGACAGATACACAGCAGAAGCGGGGCTGGCTCTGGGCACGCTTGCTGTCATCATGACTATTACGAAGGAGACAGCCCACCACCCTGCGACAGGACAATGTGGTTTCTGCCATCCTTTCAGCATGAAGCCTCTTGGCAGACAAAGCAAGTAAGGGTGTCAGCAGTAGCTTTACAAGTCTCTTCTTGCTCTTACTGCTGTGAGCAAGCTCATGCCACATACGCTCCATAAGCAAGTGGATTAAGAGCTATTACTAAGATGGAGATTACTCATTCCATCACTCAGAACCAGTTTCACTGCAAGCACCTAGTAACTTGGAAAATAAATCAAGTGAACATCTCATGAACTATATTAAGTCTAGAGGGTAAGTTTGTTTTCATTAAACAATGAGATTCACATACTTCCTCCTGGTAGAACCATTACTCAAATGCAGCTTACCATCCCATTCTTCTTATGGTAATAGCTGAGGACCGGGAAGCGACTGCCATGGCGGAACATGGCAACTTTCCAAAGCGCTTCATCATCGATGGATTTGGGGACAATGACAACCGGAGGGTAGGATGGACAGACAGAGAAATCCTTATTGATGCAGCTTAGACGCCATTCATCTGTCTGAAAGAAATCAGAACATACAGGCTTTGGGTCACAAATGTTATTACAGCATAACATCCTAGGGAACAGGACCTTCCATGTTCAGAGTTTTATCAACTATCTATTCCACTTGCACCACGGATGAAAGCTCAATTGTCACTACTGGCATAACCATGTTTGTTCATGCAAGAACCTGGATCCCCTGTAATACCATAACCACCCTAACCGGTCAGATCAAACCCAGCACCATTATCACAGTATCACAGTATGTTAGAGATTGGAAGGAACCTCAAAAGATCATCTAGTCCAATCCCCCTGCCGGAGCAGGAACACCTAGATTGTCCTGTCTCCAACAAAAAACCTGGCAGAGAAGCTGTTCAAGAACAAAGAAGCCCACCCAGTCTTTGCGGTGCACTCATCCCCTATCTCTCAGATGCCGTATTACAGATTTTAGAAGGTATATTCCTGCCTAATCCTTTTAGTATCAATTTATAGGTCTGTTGAGTGATTATTTTTCCCCATACTTCTTGATGCTGCCTGCAACCACGTCGGCTTGTTGCAGCAGCTCCCAGAAGCTCATTACCCAGTGTGCAGATGAAGCCCAAAAGCAGTGGAAGAAGTTATCAGGTGGCTCTGCTCCTTGAGGTGCAGGACTTGTTGAACAGTGGCTCATTCCCCATCTGGTTTATCCACCTCCTCAACAAACAGCACAGAGTAACTCCACCTGGTCAGAAATGTGTGACTGTGGCTTTTAATTCTTTCAGACACAGCAGGCAGCATGTCTGCAGTACACACTACAACATAACTGCATTTGCAGATAGCTTCGATCTCATAGGAATTAAGAACACAGTATGTCTGTCTCTCAGAGAACCCAGAACAGAAATGTATTGCCACATCAGCAGATTTAGATTGGGGTAACATGGGCTCAAACCTCTACCTGTGCTGAAAGCAGAGTTGGCAACACTACCCAAAAGACAAAGATAGCCAAAAAAGGCAAGAATGTCCAACAATTCCAGACGAGTGAAGCAGCTCTAGAGTTTAAAATTTCAGTTTAACATTCCTAGCTTGGCTTCCTTCTATGGGCTCTGCTTTAAGTAAAGCATAATGGCTCTTCATCCAAATGCACCTCCTGGTACCAAGCACAGCATCTAAGCACAAAGGTGTCATCATAAACTCCTGTATAATTTTTCTATTTCCAATAGTCAAACACTCATGAAAGAAGTGAATATTGGCACCCTGCACCCTCAGAAGCACTTGGTGTGAGAACTTGGGCTACTTGATACCCAAGGTCAGACACAAGACTTCGCCCCATCTCAGGCAAAACCAGAGGTCAGTTAGTAGCCTCACTGATATGAGTCCCCACTTACTGAAGTACAGGCTGGAAGAGCTCCCCTAACTTGCATCCTCAGACAGGCCCAGCCTTCGTGGAAGGCTTGCTGCTTCTGGGCTGGTACCACACCACTGTCTCCTGCATTAAGGACATCGTTCAAGTACATCAGATGGCCACAAGCATATATTTTTCCCAGAGGAGCATATCACAGAGCAAAACCTTGCTTAAAGTTTGGCAGTGAACTTAGCTCATGGTCCTTGAGTCAGTGCATCCTTATCAGGTATTTCTTAAGGCAAACAGAACCTGCTAGCAGAAGCTTTGGTGAGGAGAATGACCCAGAAGCCTCTACAGCATGCTTTGATTTTAACAGCAGCATTAAATTCTTAGAAGTAGCATCAGAATAGCAGTCTAATTTACCTATAAAAGCTCCAGAACAATGAAGCTTAAAGAAAACATAAAAATCTTTTGAAAAGGGAACAGGCAGCTATTTTCAATGCAGTTCAGTTATTTTCCTCTTAGTTCCTGTGCTTTAAAATGACACAAGTGTGACAGAGTAAACGAGACCTTAACTCGCTCCTCAGCTGAAGTGTTTTGGTACAGACCAGAAAACATTTACATGCCACTGCAGCAGGCAGATACCTCAGTTGTCATAAAAAACTCTACTCAGTTCTGTTCAAAGAAAACTTCAGGTAGACAAAAAACGTAGGATAAAGCAGATATCACAGGAAGTAAGAGAAGAGCGCAACAGTTAAATTATGAAGTAACAGAATACACAAAACCCCACATGAATTTGGGAAGGTTGGTTTAGTAGGCATTAATTACATAGCTTGATCACAAATACGTGTATCTTCCCCCTTCCTTTCTTCTAGAGGCTTACAACATCTTGCCTTACAGCTCCTAACTGGTACCTAGTTGTATAAATATGACTTGGTCACTGGCCCATGGGAGAACCAGGATCAATTTGGAAAGGTCTGCTGGCAAAGTCCTTCCATCAGACAGACAAGCTGAACCGATTCACAACACTTTCATCATCAGTAGATGCAAAACATGGGAAGTGTGGCATAGGAGATAGCAAAAGTGTACCTTTTGCCATCAGTCTAAGAAAAAGATACTCAGAAAGGCACACACTGCGTGCATTACAGTCATCAAGAAACACAGAATCATAGAATTGTTAGGGTTGGAAAGGACCTTAAGATCATCTAGTTCCATGCCCCTTGCCATGCGCTCCTCCCACTAAACCATGTCATGCAAGGCTCTGTCCAACCTGGCTTTGAACACTGCCAGGGATGGAGCATTCACAACCTCCCTGGGCAACCCATTCCAATGCCTCACCACCCTTAAAGGAAAGAATTTCTTCCTTATATCCAATCTAAACTTCCCCTGTTTAAGTTTTAACCCGTTACCCCTTGTCCTACCACTACAGTCCCTAATGAAGAGTCCATCCCCAGCATCCCTATAGGCCCCCTTCAGATACTGGAAGGCTGCTATGAGGTCTTCACGCAGCCTTCTCTTCTCCAGGCTAAACAGCCCCAACTTTCTCAGCCTATCTTCATATGGGAGGTGCTCCAGTCCCCTGATCATCCTCGTGGCCCTCCTCTGGACTTGTTCCAACAGATCCATGCCCTTTTTATGTTGAGGACACCAGAACTGCACACAATACTCCAGGTGAGGTCTCACGAGAGCAGAGTAAAGGGGCAGGATCACCTCCTTCGACCTGCTGGTCACACTCCTTTTGATGCAGCCCAGGATACAGTTGGCTTTCTGGCTGCAAGCACACATTGAAGCTGGCTCATGTTCATTTTCTCATCAACCAGCACCCCCAAGTCCTTCTCCACAGGGCTGCTCTGAATCTCTTCTCTGCCCAGCCTGTAGCTGTGCCTGGGATTACTCCAACCCAGGTGTATGCCCTTGCACTTGTCATGGTTAAACTTCATGAGGTTGGCATCAGCCCACCTCACAAGCGTGTCAAGGTCCGTCTGGATGGCATTCCTTCCCTCCAGTGTATCAACCGAACCACACAGCTTGGTGTCATTGGCAAACTTGCTGAGGGCGCACTCAATCCCACTGTCCATGTCAGCGACAGAGATGTTGAACAAGACCAATCCCAACACCAATCCCTGAGGGACACCACTCGTTACTGATCTCCAGCCAGACATTGAGCCATTGACCACAACTCTTTGTGTGCGGCCATCCAGCCAGAACATATGTTGCTACCTCTGTTCAGGAGCCTATCTAGGCAGTTTTGCATTGTCCCTGTTGTAAGTTTATTTAATTATTCAAAAGACTCAAAACAGCTTCCCTGAACATCTATGTTTTATAAAAAGCAGAGGTTCTCCCAGATGCAAAGTTAAATTGCCTTTGGCAATCATGTCACAGCTGGAGATGAAAGTAGTTCTGGATCACATAAGGGAGGCCAACTGGTCCTACATTAAAAGCTCATACTTTTAATTCCCCAGTAATATTTTTTTTAGCTTTTTAGGGTGTTTATGTTAAATAACAGAAAATTTCATACAATGGTGTGCAATTTTTTTACAATGCAAAAAATATGCATGGATATAGAACTGGTAAATACCTCACTGCTACACAGGAGGTAGAGAAGGCAAAAATCACAACTCCGTGGTATGCTTTTTGAGACACTGGCAGCCAACGATATGACTAGCATAAGAAGAAATTCTTGCGAGACCCTACCTGCAGTCCTGCATTCAGCTCCAGAGCCCTCAACACAAGAGGGACATGGACCTGTTGGAGTGGGTTCAGAGGAGGCCATTAAGATAGTAAGAGGACTGGAGCACCTCTGCTATGGAGAGAGATGGGGTTGTTCTGCCCAGAGAAAAGAAAGATCCAGGGAGACCTCAGAGCAGCTTCCAGTGCTTAAAAGGGGCCAAAAAGAAATCTGGAGAGGGTCTTTTGACAAGGGCCTGTAGGGACAGAACAAGGGGGAACAGCTTTGACCTAACAGAGGGGAGATTCAGGTTAAATACAAGGAAGAAGTTCTTTCCTGTGAGGGTGGTGAGGCCCTGGCACAGGTTGCCCAGAGAAGCTGCGGCTGCCCCATCCCTGGCAGTGTTCAAGGCCAGGCTGGACGGGGCTTGGATCAACCTGGTCTAGTGGAAGGTGTCCCTGCCTGTGGGAGGGGGTTGGAACTGGATGATCTTTAAGATCCCTTCCAACCCAAACCATTCTGTGAATGGAAGAGTATTATCCCGATTTATTCCCACTTTGGTAATTTAACTCTGCCCATAACCTCCCCTCCTCACCATTTATAACTACAGGACAGATGACTGTTATGTCACCCAGGGATAGTTTACTGTTACGTAGGAAGGAGGAAAAGCACAGCAACAATCAGCACCATTTATCTTCTGTATCACAGCTACTTTTGCAGAGACCCAGTTAACCTTGCCAGCTTCAGACTACTAAAATACACTACAACACACATCAGATGATAGTAAAGCCTTATAGTCCAAGTCTCTTCTTGGCTTTTGCTTCGGGGTTTGTCTTGCAACTTGAAAGCAAAAATTGCCATCACCAACTGGAAGAGCAAGGCAATAGCAATCCAGCTACATGCAGTAGATGCAGATATGCAAAGCAGTAAGGACTGCAGTGAAGCAGAAGAGGTGGACCTCATCTTCAGATATCACCAGTATGCTGTGGGAAACTCTAAGCACACAGTTAACACTTCTCCCAGAAAGAAATCTGTACTTTACAGGATCAGAAAAAGTTAATTCCAGTTAAGGCTGGAAGCAGCAAAGAATTGGGGCAGAGTAGAAAGGAGAGAGGGCTTCAATTAAAAAAGAAAGTAGCCTCAAGTATTTTCTTAAACGCAGTGCAAAATTAACTCTTACGTTTCTGCTTTTCTTGTCCTAGTACTTGTTTAGATATATAGATTTTCAAACGTCACTGAAAGGCTAAAACAACAGTTATCCTTCCTTCTAAAAGCTGAAGTTGCTAGGAGACGTCATTTTCCACAAAACAGTGTGAAACAATTCAAGCTCTACTAGTAAGCCTTAAAAGAAGAGTTGGGAAAGAAGAGACCTTGAAGCATCCTGCAGAACAGAAATGAGAGAAGCTATTTTCAAGGAACAGGCAGAAGGCAACAAGACCTGTTAGCAACAGATTGTGCATGGACAGGAAACAACCACAGAGGCAAGCAAAGGTTAATGCTTGTCTTATAAGAGACAAATAAGAAGCTGCAGTGCAGTAGAGCACAGCTGAACTGAACTGTCCAGGAAGAGCTGACATACCTATAATGAATCCAGATCTGATGTGCTACCCAGTGCCTCAAGAAAAACACAAGGCAATATAAAGCTGGATGAGCAAACATGAACTATCCCATGCATCTTTTACTCCATTCATGTATTTGTCTGTAGTTTCATTAAAGTCTCGTCTCACAGTACAGTAACTTGGAGCCTGCATGCTCGGTGGAGTTTTGCTGTGACATTTAGTACAGCATTGAGCCAGTTTCTTAATATGACTTAATTCTCAGCTGAACGCCTCTGTTGATATGTTGGATTTACCCAAAAAGCAGTTCACCTAAATCTCCCCTCTGTCAGATTAAAGCCATTCCTCTTTATCTATCACTACTTACTCTTATAATAGGTCCCTCTCGAGCTTTCTTGTAAGCTCCCTTTAGGTAACACAAGAGATAAACATATAAATTATAATAATAAATTATAACAACATAATATATTGTCTGATTTCTAATGTACTACTGAACTTTTTTTTTTAATTTTTATAGTTTTACTTTGCCGTTATAGAATGTGTCAGTTTAAAAACAACTCTTCTGTAGCACACAAATTGGAATGAATACATTACTACAGCTGCAGTGTGGCTGAAATGCAGTTTTTAACAAGTTATTACCATATTGGGGAAGGTAAGGAATAACACATCCAGATGGATGATTTAATGGAGAGGGAAGTAACCTTCTGTATTCTACTCATCTGACTTATGGGAGAAAAAGGATAAATCAACCATTTGCTTGTTCTAGCTTGTCACATATGACAATTTAATTACAGAAGAAGAAATATTTGGTCAACAACACATTTATCTGTTGTTCAGGAAACATAAATCATTTGAACATTACACGTTCCTGTGTAACCTTATCTAGGTGTTCCTGCTCCGGCAGGGGGATTGGACTAGATGATCTTTTGAGGTCCCTTCCAATCTCTAACATACTGTGATACTGTGATACTGTGATACTGTGAACATGCCCCATCCCTGGCAGTGTTCAAGGCCAGGTTTGACAAGGCTTTGACCAACCTGCTCTAGTGGGAGGTGTCCCTTCCTGTGGCAGGGGGTTGGAATTGGATGAGCTTTAAGGTCCCTTCCAACCCAAACCATTCTATGATGGCTGTTGTCACCATTTCGTTAAAAAGGGAGTTACATGTGAAGTTTGGGTTAAAAGCCAGGAATTAACCAATATCCATTAGACATACATATTTTAAAATTATTGCCCTTGAAATGTAGAGCTATAGAGTAACTGGGTTTTTAAATGCAAGCCTTCCAAGGAGTGTATGTCCAGAAAGCCAAGACATTTACAAATAAGGTACCCATGCATTTTTAAGCCATGCTAGCACTGGTAAACTGTGGTGCTAGCTATTTTAACAGGTCAGTTTGAACGTCTTTTGACAGCAGGTGAAGATAGGCCATGTGAGAGCACTCTGATTATAAGCCAAAAATAGAAACATCTCTTAATTCCTTTAATTTTCTAGTGATCTTGTCATATGAATCTGGTCAAGCTAATCATATTACTCAGTTATTAGTCATAAACAGGAAATGATAAATGCTGCAGACAAGCTGGGCTGCAGATGAAAGAAAAGGAAAATCAATGTTCTTTGGTGCTGTACTAATGGATGTGGTCTCAGAAACCTAAGATGATGCAGCAAGTGCACATATTTAATGTGAAACAAAGACCTGGAACACAAAGATGCTAACCCAGAGCGCTACTGAAGCAGACTGGCTCCTACACCGACTCAGTTCCCATTACACCAAATTCAGCATCCTAGAAGGAAAGTCTGAATAACAGATGTAACAGGCAATGCCACAAGAACAATTCATACCCTACAGGTACCAAAGTAATACCAACAACTGCTTACAGCACCTGGAAGAACAGGACTGGAAATTTCCTGCTGTCTAAACCCTCCCAGTATTTCCCCAGCACGAAGCAGAGCTGAGAGTGTTTCAAATTAGGCATCTTCCTAGAAAGCCAAGAGATCCTTAGTGATTTTTTTAAGAACAGCCTCATATCAACTAAGGGGTTGACAAAGATTACATCTGAAGCGGAGTGGGATGAAAGCTAAGTACAACAAACCCAGGCCAGAGGTCTTAGATTTGTTCTCACAATAAGGAGGGCCATCTCCAAAGGACAAAAACATTTACCTGGGAGGACATGAAGGTTGGAACTTTAAAATAGGCCTCAAAACTCCATTTGTACAAGGTGAAACACAAGTGCTAAATAGGAATATTTAGTACATAAACAGAAGCGTCTGCTGTTTACAGAGTATTTGAATAACACACATCTCGCCCAGACACCAGATAGCTGTTTTTAACATCCAGGATTTCCAGTTTAGGCACTACTGGGTGAAAAACTTCACACACTGCTTGCACAAGCATATCCTAGTGCCTACACACACCCTTAAGATCCAACTTACTACTGAGCTGAGCAGCTCAAATTCTTGGTCAGGCAGAAAAGAGCGCCAGCCATCTTCAATGATTTCAAACATGGGCCGGTAGAAGAAGGGATACATGAGAGTGACAGAGTCCAGGGTGGAAAGTGCCTGTGCAGGGAAGAGAAATAAACAGCTACTTAATTCATTCAATCTGCTATCGTATTTAAAAAAAACCCCATACATCAAAGAGTATTTTCCTCTAATATCAGTGATGCAAACTTAAGACACCCAAAAGCATACAGCCATTAAGCTCGAGTTATTAAATTACCAGCAAGGTACTTTAAAACACATAAAACTCAGTAGCACAAACAAAAGCCGGTTATAACAATCTAACTGCAATTGGAGGTCTGTACAGGATATAATTTCTGTAGGCTTCACTATGTAACAACACCCCAAAGGATGAGAAAGATGTACACTGAACAAGTATGAGACACATCCTACATGATATTTACCTGATTACTTAAATAATCATAGCTTAAACTCAGGAAGTCACTTAACATTGAGACACATGAAACTCAACTGGTCTGATTTGAGTTTGCATCCTCACGCTCCAACATAATAAAGTTGAGCTTCATTTTACCAAATGTTACAGCAAAATATTTGATCAAGAAAAGTAGGGTTGGGGCTTTTGGGGGGACTGTTTTTCTATAGCGTATTTTGTGCTGTTTTCTCATTTTGCTTCCAAAACATCAGTAAAAACCTTCCTACCCGGAAAAAAAAAAGTTTATAGAATCACAGATGTCCTGGTTTCAGCTGGGATAGAGTTAATTTTCTTCCTAGTAGCTGGTGCAGTGCCATGTTTTGGCTTTAGTCTGGGAATAACGCTGATAACACAGTTTTTGCTTGGTAGCACTTACCCTGATCAAGGACTTTTCAGTCTCCCATGCTCTGCCACTGAGGAGGACCACAAGAAACTTGATGGGAGCAGAGACAGGACACCTGACCCAAACTAGCCAAAAGAACATTCCATACCACAGAGCATCATGCTCAATTTAGAGAATGGGGAGAGTTGGCTGGAAGGGGCCAATCACTGCTCAGGAATGAGCTGGGCATCGATCAGCAGGTGATGAGCAATTGTACTGCGCATCATTTGTTTATTCCTTTTTATATTTCCTATTATTATATTTTATTTCTATTCAATTATTAAACTTTTATTATCTCAAACCATGGATTTTATCTTTTTTTGATTCTGCTCCCCATCCCACTGGGCATTGGGCAGAAAGTGAGTGAATGGCTGTGTGGTACTTAGTTGCCAGCTGGGCTTAAACTATGACAACAGAATTCAGTGTTGGAAGAAATCTCAGCGATCACCTGGTCCAACCTTTCTCGGCAAAGGATGAGGTAGACAAGATGGCCCAGCACACTGTCAAGCTGGATCTTAGATATGTCCAGGGTTGGACAGTCCACCTGGGGAGATTATTCCAGTGGTTGACTGTTCCTATTATGAAAAATTGTCCTCTTTTGTCCAAGCGGAATCTCCTCATCCATCACCCTTCATCTCTTCCATGTGACTCCTTGTAAAAAGGAGTCTCCATCTTCCTTGTAGCCACCTTTCAAATACTGGAATATGGGGAGAAGGTCTCCCCTGAGCCTTCTTTTCTCCATGCTGAACAAGCTCAGCTCTCTCAGCCTTTCCTCATACAGCTGCCAAATGCTTGTGGCCCTTCTCTGGAGCCTCTCCAGCCTGTGCTACACTGTTAAGGTTGAGGTCAGACCAGGATCTCAGAACCCAGGTGTTACTTAATATTATGAATTCTTACCTCAATAGAGCTTGCAATGTTCAAACACTCCTCCATTCCAGGTATATCCAGCTGAATAATCCGCAGATCTTTGCACTTTATCACGATGGTACCCAATGAGCCCACAAACCTATAGCAAGACACAAAGAAAGCACCTCTTGAGAACAGGATCATCTAAGGTAAGACGAGGTATTACAGCTCTTCCTACAACATGTGTCTACAAGACAAAACTCCATTAGTACTAATTTGCCTGCAATATAATCTTTCAAAAAATAAACAAAACCAACTCTTTATTTGGTATTTGCAAGTTTTTTTGAGGGGGGGAAACTCCATCCTTCGATGCAGCAGTGAGTGGAAATGTAAGTATTATGAGACAGGTTTTTCTACCAGCTTTTCTTTAAAAGATGAAAGAGAAAAGGTGTATTCAGTTATTTTCTGGTAGTACTGTAAGCTTCAGCTGGCAGTTTCCAGTTTCATTAAAGTAATGCACTGAAACTCTGCGGATTGCTAAAAACATCCGAGTTTAATGTTCAAGGTAACATTTCAGTCTGGCTACATTACACTCTGATGTCTTTAACAAGAAAATCTGATTTCTGATACCTGCAGTACTATGGAGACCTCAGAGACCTTAAGGTCTTATCACTGCTGGTTACAAAACAAGTTAACCCAGAAAAAGCTTTATGTTACAGAGCAAACACAGCTTACAGATGCTCTCACCAGTCTTCCTTACAAACCAGAAAGGATGATGCCCGTGCATCAGTGTTTTGTTTACATTAACTAGCTACCAGCATTTGCAGGAAAGATGTAGCTTTTAGACCATAAAGCAGTGAATTGAGGAAAAGGACCAGAGTCTCACAGACATCACAGCAGTGCTTGCAGCAGCCAGGGTGATGCAAGAGGCAAAAGCAGCCAAGACCTGAAGGACAACGTTTCGTCCTTTGTGGCCTGACCCTCAGCACAGGGAAAGGCAGGGCTGTGCACGCTCCAAGAGACCTGTTGCTAAGCTTTGGGTTGCTTCACCTGTACTACAGAAGATGCCTGTAATTTATTTTGGAATTGTTATTACAGCTGAAAGGTTATTACCTGTCCTGTGCAGGCAAAGGTTAACATGCAGAACCAACTATAATTTGGGTAGTGCTGAAGGAAGAACTACAGGCCTTTTGACAGAAGGGTTCTGCAGCTCTAGGAGAGCCAGTCTGTACATGGCTTGCCCTTGCTTCAGCGCTGTTTAACACATCTCCAAGGAAATAAGACAGCGAAGCTACAACACACCAACAGGGCTGTGTTTTCTTCAAGCAAAACCACTATAGGAAATCACTAGACTGCTCCAGTCCCTAATAAACCATACAAGTCATATTTGTTTAAAAACCTACAAACATTTAAGAAGCAGTTTGATGACCATCTGATAATCAGGGAAAACACTGTTTTGTACAAAAGACACTCATAATGTGAAAGGGAGAAGGTATTTTTATGAATCTGGCACAACATCACTAATAACCTGAAGTAGTGCCAAACTGGACCATTCTACAACCTTTATTAGTTTAAGAGTCTTGTTATTCTACCCTCCTCAGCACCAAGAACATATTCTAATCCTTTTATATAGGAAACTTCATTTCGGTTACACACAATGCTCCGCTCAAGGAGGGAGATGTCTACTCTAGAAACCTTCTAGAAACCAGGGCTGGTAATAAAGGCTGTGAGCATCTGCAGGCATAGCTAATCCTGTTATAAATCACATACTGAGCTAGCAGTGTGCTGCTCCCTCACCATAACTTACAAGTGTTATCTGCTTATTTGGTATTAACTCACATTACTACTGTTAACTAACCTCATACAAAAATAAAAATAAAAGAAAAGCTTGGCCATATTAATTTTCAAAACAGCTACAGCTGGTTTATTATCACGAGGAAGGAGGATGAGGCCAAACCACACTGATGACTGAGCAGCACTAGACAGGAACAGATTTCCCAAGGCTTCCACCGCTCTGTTTCTCTCCACCCTCAGGCCAAGATGCAGTATTTCTCAGAAACGCACAGAGATATCAGGAACACTGGAATAAATTTAATCAGCACCCAGTACTTCACCCATTCTCAGATTCTGAGGCAACCTGATATTTTTAATTGATGCTGCTTGACTTGTCCCTTTCCCTGGCAGTGTTCAAGGCTAGGCTGGATGGGGCTTGGAGCAACCTGGTCTAGTGGAAGGTGTCCCTGCCCACGGCAGGGGCTTGGAACTGGATGAGGTCTCTTCCAACTCAAGCCATTCTGGGATTCTATGAAACTTAAAAAAGGACCAAGACAAGGAAGCAAAGCCAACGACCAGGCAGGGTGGGACTGCTACTCAACAACATAAGCACAATGGGGCAACAGTACATGTAGAGCAGGCAGAAGTGTTGGTAAGATTAATCCATAAGTGCCTGCAACAAAAGGGGATGTAGAGTGCTGCAGCTACAACTCAGCTCTCCCACACTGTTCCCATTAGGAATATGCTGTTCAAACATTACTGATTTCCATGAGCAGTTGGAGAAGGGGATGATGCTGTTGAGCAGCAGGAGACTAATCTCAGGCTGGGAAAGTCTGGAGTCCACTTCAGCCATCAGCTGTGGTGAGTGACCCAAGGAAATCACTTCATCAGTGCCTCAGCTTCCACCTCCGTTGAACAGTGGTAAAGATGCATCTTCTATCAAGTGTTTCAAGATCTACTGATGAAATCCACTAAGCAATTAACACAGAGAACTGCTGACAAAGGTGTTTAAGCATAAAAATTCTGACTGTGACCAAAAAACACTGTCAAGCAACAATACCCCAAAATAAGAATTAATTAACTGCCCATGCCAGTATTCTGGCCTGGGCTCTGATCGTCCTTTTTTCTCTCTAAACCTCGATTTGAGACAGCCAATGTGCAAGCCAGTCCTGACAACCACTTTTCAGCCCCAAGACACAAAACGATCAGGCAGGGAAACGAGCAGTCATACCTTTTTTCGATAGAATCAATGTTGGAGTGCAACAGCCACAGCTCCTCGGCGTTATCATGACGCCGCGAAGAAAAGATGAGGTGATGGCCAGTCAAACACAGAGTCCCCTCCACCGCCAGGTAGAACGGGCGGTGCAAGACCACGTTGTCCGCTCGGGGGGTCTTGATCAGCTCCGCGAACTCCATGCTTGCTGGCAAACGGTAAGCGACAAAAACGTGCTGGGGAGAATGGGGGTAACCCCAGCAACACGCACAGGAGCAGGAGGGAGAACAGGGGCACGGCGCAGCGCTATGCCACCGCGGGCAAGCACCGGCATAACGCGCAGAGCGATCCCATCTCCCAGGGTGGGGAAACGCTGCGGGGAGAAGGAAACGCGGAGCGAGGGACAGCTCCGAGCCCGCTCGGAGGAGGCCGGCGCCCTCACAGGGCCACTTTCCCCGTGGGCGGCGGAGTGCCGGACCGAGAGCGGGGGCTGTGGGGTCCCGCAGCCGCTCGGTGCCCGGAAGGCAGCGGCAGGACAGCCTGCGGGCAGGCCGAGGCGGGAGGGCAGCCCCAGAGCCTCCCCGCGCCCCGCCGAGCTCCCTCAGCAGCACAGCCCGGAAGACCACGGGCCGCCGCCGGAAGTTGAGGGCTCACGTGATGCACCGAGGCCAATCCCCACCCTCCGCCGGGGCCCGCCTGTCTTACCGGAAAGGGCGCTGCCGCTGAAAGCCCGGCGCGCCCCGCGGCACCACCGCAACCGTTCCGAGGGATCACCGGGCGTTTGGGGAGGAGCGGGGCCGGAGGCGGGGCTGGGGCCTCATCGGAGGGGAGCCAATGGGGATGGGGAACCGGAGAGGGGGCGGGGGCTAGAGGAATGGGCGGGGCGGTAGGGGCGGGGCCGGGGCGGGCAGTAGGGAGGGGGCAGCGCAGGCGGAGGGAGGGGGCGGGCAGAGGAGAAGAGTCGGGGCTGGTGCAGGCAAGGGTTGGGTAGGGGCGCAGAGCCGGGGTGTTTCTGTCGCTGAAGCACTCCGGTGACAGTGGCTGCACACGAAGGCAGTCGGCAGAACCTGCCTGGAACGACGCGCGGCCTGTGCAGAGGTGCCTGCCGCGGCTCCTCTCTTGCTCATAGAACAGGTCCCAGATTCAGACCTACCGCCCCCCCCCCGCTTGTTGTGAATGCCCTCAGCAGCACAGGCGGCTCTCCTCCAGGAGCACCGGGCAGGGGCGGTGTTCCACTCAAGCTGGCTGCCCCCCGCTCTGCAGGGATGCCCGCAGAGCACCCTCCATGTGGGCATCACCAGGGTTCTACCGTTTATAGACAGCAGCGGGAGAAAGGCGGCAGCCCCGCTCCCAGAGGAGGCCCAGCAGCGCAACGAGGATCCCAGTGACCACTGTGTCAGGTCTTGCACCTGGGTAAGCACAACCCAGGAGTGCAGCACAGGCTGGGATCTGCCCGGCTGGGAAGCAGCTCTTTAAAATGGGACATGGGCAGGGACACCTTCCACCAGACCAGGTTGCTCCAAGCCCTGTCCAGCCTGGCCTTGAACACTGCCAGGGATGGGGCAGCCACAGCTTCTCTGGGCACCCTGTGCCAGCACCTCAGCACCCTCACAGGAAGAACTTCTTTCTTCCTAACATCTAACCTGAACTTCCCTTGTGACACTGCCAACACCTCACAGGTAGGGTGAGGAGGCAGAGAACCAGTATAAGCTCGAGAGCTTTTCCCTGGGTTATCACTGTAAAGTACATCCCCGTCAGGAAAGCCACAGAGCTTGGGCACAGCCGAAACTGCAGTGTCCACACTGAATTTGTTGGCAGAGGTGCAGGCAGGGATGTGGTCTGCAGCAGGCAGTACTGACCTAGGCAATGCCAGAGAGCAGCTCACGTGGCCAGGCTAAGTTGGGGTCCAGAGAACAGACCCTGGCATAGGGCTACAAAGATGCTCTGAGGGCTGGAGCACTCCTACTATGGAGACAGGCTGAGATAGCTGTGTGTGTCCAGCCTGGAGAAGGGAAGGCTCCTTAAGGGGAGACCTTAGAGCAGCTTCCAGTGCATAAAGGGGGCAACAAGAAAGCTGGGGAGCGGCTTTTGACAGGGGCCTGCAGGGACAGGACAAGGGGGAATGGCTTTAACCTGACAGAGGGGAGACTGAGATGAGCTCTTAGGCAGAAGTTCTTCCCTGTGAGGGTGCTGAGGCCCTGGCACAGGTTGTGCAGAGAAGCTGTGGCTGCCCCATCCCTGGCAGAGTTCAAGGCCAGGTTGGACAGGGCTTGGAGCTACCTGGTCTAGTGGAAGGTGTCCCTGCCCGTGGCAGGGGTTGGAACTGGATGAGATTTAAGGTCCCTTCCAACCTAAACTCTGTGGCTCACTAGCAGGGGGTTTCCCCTAAACCAGTAAGTTAGCAAGATTAAAAACTAAATTCAAAGCTGTAACACTGAAATGAAGCATTTACCCTGAGAGTGTTGGTGAGTCTCTGAAGGGCTGCCTGCAAATCCCTGTGCTTTGAGCAAAATCAAACTTACAAGCAGTGGTGAGAAGATGAAAGACTCTTCATGCTGACAGCAAATACCAGACATGTCCTGAAGAGGGGCTCTGTCAGCTGCGCTGGCCGTGGCTACCTCCCAAAAGGGGACACTACACCAGGAGGCAGATGTGGGCTCTGATGCAGAACCCCAGGTCTTGCTCACCTGGAGAAACTGATTCCTTATCCTCCATCTGCTTTATGTCTGAAGAAGAACAAAGCATGAAAATCAGGTCATCGGACATTTTTAGGGCTCTTTCTGGAGGAGATGAATAGCTGTTTGGTACCGTCCTGCCCATGATTGTTTTGATGGTGCAAGTTCAAGATTGTTCAGTCCCTGCATGATGGAAACAGCCTGGAACTATCTGTGCAGATGCAAAGAGGCTGCTTTTCATGACATCCTGTTCTAGGCAATTGCACAAGAGAAGGGTTGAATAGGTGTTTGGGTACAGTGACCTGAATTATGATACTCACCTCTGGCGGTGAGTTCATTTGGAGCTTGTCTAAGTTGTTACTTTTATGTCTTATTAATGCTGGCAGTTTAGGTGATTTCAATATCTGGGAGTGATTTGAAAGTCTAATTAATGACATTTTATTCTCACAGATACATGCAAAGATTCATAATAAGGAAGATTAATTCCCCCCTTACAGCAGCTTGCACTGATCCGTATCATCAACCCCTCCAAAGGAGAAGAGGGGTATCCCCTAGGTCTGGAGCTACCAGGGCATGGGAGTCCCATATGTAACTTACAATAAAAACAATTCTACATTGCTGCTTTCACTTCAGTGTTGGGATATCCTGGAAGCAGCACAGGACTCTCTGCATTTTGCCATTCAGACTGGGAAGCCTTTGCTATGAACCCAGAACTAAATATAAACTCACACCTTTGGGGCATGAGCAGGACTGTTAAAGTGCTGCTCATCTTTGTGTTTCATCCTGGCTGAAGATAAAAAGCTGTTTCACTGCCCCTCACCATGCACAGTGGTGGTGGACATCCATCTGAGATTGCATAGGGAAGGCTGGTGCTTTAGGATATCGTCAGGAGAGTTGCCTGGAGTCTCCATACAGCTCCCTTGCCATCAACTTACGGGTATTAACCACACTGAACCTCTTAGGAGACACTGTCTGGACTCTCGTGGTTCACCCTGTTCATCCCCATGGTACCACAGCCACAATCCTCATGAAGCACAGTCAGACCCCACTGACCGAGGAGCAGCTTCTTTCTGTGAGGGGTGGTCTCCATCTCACCGATGGTGCTGTGGGGAGTTATATTTATTAAGAGCATCCTCAGTAGGATCACAGAATGGTTTGGGTTGGAAGGGACCTTTAAGGATCATCTAGTTCAAGTCCCCTCCACAGTAAGCATGGACATGTTCTACCAGATCAGGTTGCTCAGAGCCCTGTCCAACGTGGCCTTGAATGTTTATCCAGGGGTGGGATATACTCAGCTGAAGAGTGCCTGTAAAGGAAAGCAAAGGCTTCAGCCTCGTGGCCAGCAGGGAAATGGCACTGTTGCCTCTGTGAAGGAGGGAAATTTTGGGCAGTGGCTGTGCGCTGCAGGACTAATAAACCTGGTGCTTTCTCATGTTAGTCTTGATGACCCTGCAACCCCCAGCCCATGTGTGGAAGTGGATCATCTCTCTACCAGCTCAGAGGAAAAAAGCATCAGAAATAGTCCTCCAATTGAGACCATGTCAGATATTACACTGAGAGAAAGGAATAAGGGGTGCCTAAGATGATAAGTGACTGGCACTCAAATGGGCTTCAGTGCCTGCCTTTTTCTGTCTTCCTGCCATGTGCTTTAGGGAAAATGAACTGCTTTGTGGCAAAGATGAAGGGCTTGTACTCAAAAACAAAATTGACTCGAATCTCATGTCTTCCAAAGGAACATCCTGTAAAATAAGGATCAGTAGCGCTTGGAGCAGGCTCCTTCCCTTCCTGTATTTCAACACTGCCTGGCACAATACAGCCCTGATATCAGTCAGTAAACATGACTACAGTCTTCTGAGGAACACAAGATGTACAGGACATCATGAAGAGTACAACATGCCTCTTGTGCAATAAAACCACACTGGCCTGACAACTTTTTCTGTTGATCCTGCACAAATTATCCTGTCCTGCATTCCCACTCCAAAACTCACAGCTGCCACTGCACCTTTTTTAATATAACCTTACAGCAAGGGGGTACAGACCTCCCTGCACAAGGGAGAGAAGTTACATGGGTGTTTGTGAGGATATATTTGGTTCATGATAACAGATGACAGGGTAATGAAGGTTTGCCAGCTTCTGGAAGGTAGCTCCATGCACCGTATGCTTTTACTTGCTCTGATAAAGTCTCCTAAGAAACAACATCCCTGTCAAGCAGGAGTAGCATGCAGGAGTGTCCAAGCAGAAGGGAATGCTGCTAAATCAGTGCTCTTTGCCAAATACCCAGAGATTCCTCCTGCCAGACCCCTAAATGCCTGTCCATCTGCTTTCCTCTGCCTCATAACGTGTCCTGAAGAGGTTTGCCAAGATGTTTGTCTGGCCTCGGCAGGAGAAGGGGCTCTTCCCAAGTCTTCATTTCCCAGCTGGAGAGCAGGATCAGAAACTGTCTGGGTCTCTGTCCACTCCTCCTGCATCACCCTGAAGGACCCCAGGCCATAGGTTCCTCTCCCTGGTTGTATGTGGTTGGTTTGGACTCCCTGATGAGTCCACATCCCCAAATCCGAAGTGGTTATCAAGATTTTAGGCTTTTTATCAAGCAAGCTCTCCTCCACCACCACATGCATTCACACCAGCAGGGTTTTGTCTGTGACATCCAAGAAGTAATTGGCTGCAGAATAGCAGAGAATCACCCTCCATATGCTGCAGTCCCATGACCATTTGTCTCTTGGACAAGCACTAGGATTTTTTAGGGCTCTCTATTTGCTTGGTTTTGTTCCTGAAATAGACTGTGATCTTATTATCCAAACAGCCAGCGGCTTTACCCTCTGATACTTTCCTAGGAAGGGGAGTGAAAGAGCCACAAGCACAGGGTAAAAGATGTTGTTTGTAGCTGAAAATCATCTGTAATTGCAGTGACCACAACCATAGGGGTAAAATCAAGGCAGCCGTGAGGCCAGCTGGCATGGCCAAGCCATACACAGGGTATTAAGATCTCCTGGCTTCCCAAAAAGGGATCTGCAGTAGGCAGCTTCCTGGGTATTAGGAAGCTAATATATATATAATAGATACATAATAATATAAATAATATATATGATAATGTGCTAATTCCTGAGCT